AAGATTAATATGAAGATTAAATAATGATAAAAAAAATATCAATGTTATAGGATCCACCAATGGTATTAAAAATAAATGTCATATAAACTCTTTTTATTATTCAACTGGAAATCATATATAAAAGAGGTTCCAATGGGATGATTTATTATTAATAGCTCATTATAAATTGTTAACCCGATCATATTAATTATCTTATTTAAGTAATACCAAACTTTTAAATATTATCAGAAATCAAGTTAACAATAAATCAAGTTTTTTTTATAGCACGGGTATAGATTATACCATACGGTTGATTATGAAAGTGTCAAGCATTTGTTGTACTAAGTATTATACAACACAAATTTAGATTAACCATTTAACAAACAATGTATTAATAATTAATAAGATAAAAATGATAAGACATGTTAATAGCAAACTTTATTGGATAAGCATTAAAGTTCATATTGAGTTTATATTATACATATCCTAATACCATTAGCGAAACCTTTTCACTTTGACATATTAAACTTAGCTAAACATTATGAATAAGAAAAGTATAAATAAACAAGATGAGAACATAATTATATAAGTATATTAAATGAAATGAAAGGCATAAATAAAATATTAATGAAACTATAACATGAAATAAAACTAGAACATTCAAACTACAAAGAAAGAAAGCAGGTAAGGAAATGATCTTGATCTGAAAACCAAGATGCTTATATGCATGACAAATACCTCATTTTATAGGCTAAAATTTAGAACTATTGATTTGATGACTAATTGTTGAGTGGATGACTAATTGTTGAGTGAATGACTACTTTTTGACTTGGTAACAATTCTTATTTTCTTATCTATCAAAAACATCATTACTAATATCAGAATTTGAACATATAGTTTTCATGAAAGTTATGAGAAATTATCTCAGCTTTCCAACAAATAAAAAGTTGGTGTATTTGGACTTCTAGAACTTCAGATATGGGTTGAAAACTTAACAGTGTTTGAGCTGTAGGACAGATTCAGACTTCTTTTTTTATACTAAGATTTAGACTTTCAAACGGCAGAATTGAGTCTTAGACTATCATGAATGTTTTAAGCCTATATATTAGCTTTCTAGCCATATGGACGAAACTGAAATCCAAGATCTACAGCTTCAGATATAACTTAATGATTGAACAATGTTCCAGTCTAGACTAAACCAACATCTTTTTTCTAAGTTTAGCTTTTTCTTTGTCCTTTCACTCTTAATAGTTAATCACATCAATAAATCATTTGATTTATATGATATGTCAATATTTAAAATGAACATTTACCATGAGAGCTATTTTATATTATCAAATTTGTTATTATAAAACATGTTATAATTAAGGAGTTGTTAATACTTTAAATGCAAAATAATGACATAAAACATTGATAAAAATACACTTTTAAATACTAATCATATATCCTTGAAAACATTTGAAACAATTAGGGGTCAAAATGGGTTAAAATTACAAACACTTAATTGATAAATTTTTGAAAGCAAGTAGAATCAATTTCTCAATTTCTATAAAATCAAATACTTTTAAATAAAAAACAAAATAAAGTAGATCCATTTGATTAAAAATAAAGTAAAACGTTCAACAACCATGTAAACACATATTTGATAAAATCTAACAAAAACACTTAATTGGAATGGTTTGAAAATTTACAAACTAAAAAAAAATAAAAATTGGAACATTTCAATTGAAATAATTAAAAAAATTTACATACCAAATATGTAATAATTTTGGTTTTTCATCATGATTTTTAGTTGCAATATGTTTAATTATTTTTTAAGAAATAGTTTTTCTATTCAAAATTAAATAAAATAATATTTTTTTTCATGAGATATGTATCCATAATTTTGCATGTACACTATCTACAATAAAAATAGAATTGACAAAAACCTAAAGCTTGTGGGAAAAGTAATTATAAATGTCTTGATTCACAATGAATTGAAATAAAAAAAATTATTATTATTTCCTTCTAAAATAACTAAATTGTCTATTAAAGATAATTAGATCTTTTCATGGGATCCATTGATCATTTTAGAATTGGTTGGGAATAACTCAATTCTTTTATATTTTTTTTCACATTATAATTATTTAATTTCTCTTAAAAAAATATTTAACTTGAATCTTGGAGAATTTTTTATATTTTACTTTTCCCAGCAGTAAAATGATTGTATTGCCTTTAAAATATTGGCATGGGTAGTGTTTTTCAATTCATCATTAGGGGGCCTACATCTTAGGTGGCATGGGTAATGTAATTTCTTCCGGTTTGGTGTTATTTTGCTTTCTATATATATATATATATATTGATTCTCATGTTTGGTCTTTTAAAATTTCACAATTTGTTTTTTTTTTTTGTTGAATTTGGGCTCTATCCTTTCAATTGATATTTTTATTTAAATTATTTTATAAAATTTAAATTTATTTTCAATTTTATTCTCTTTTAATTTTTAAATTTGTGAGATTTTTTCTTCTTGCTATTTATTTTTATTTAAGATTATTTTTTTTAATAATTTCATTCTCTATTTTTTATTGCTATTTGCTTACTTTGACAAAATTTTTAAACTGATTTTTTTTTCAACCTTTAATGTTGAATTAAGCTTCTTAATTAAGTTCGAGTCTATGATTTAATGGGTTGTAAATTTTAAAAATTAACTCATGTTTAGAAAATTCGTTAAAGTTTTTTTTTTTTATAATCTTATATTTTTTTTAATTTTATTCTTTAATATTAAATTTAATTGGAGATTAGGTTTCATTATTATTTTTTATTTGCTTGCTAAAGTTTTTTCACCAATCTTAAAATAACATTTATCGGTCTTTGTTAAATTTAAATTTTATTTTATTTTTTTGTTTTGAATTAAATTAAATTAATTGTTTAAATATAAGTATATCATGTTTACTTTATTTTTTTCTGGTTTGCTTAAATAAAGCTTTTTTAGGTTTTTTTTTTTAATTTTCAAACTTCAATATTTAATTGATTAAATTATACTTCTTCTTTTATTTTGGTTAAGGTTTCATAAAATTAATATAGTTTTATGTCTTGGATTAAAGATTAATCATAGTTTAGTTTAGGTAGAGCTAATGTATTATCATTTTAATATTTTTTTTAAAATATTTTATCTAATATATCATCATCTTGATATTAAATATTAAATAGAAATACTAAATACTTATAAAATATAAAGTACAAGAATTGGATAAAACAAAATAGAGGGATCAAACTAACAAACAATTGAGTAGAGGGACCAATTGCAAGATTAAGATTTAAGCCCTAGAAATTCTAGCAGTCTATACTACGAGCAAGAGGGAACCCTAGCAATTCTGTATTAGCTAATGCTCTGCCATGCTCTTCCGTAACCCGCATCTTGCCGCCTCCAATCATCATCACCTCCTGTAAAAACACCAATACGCCAACCTGTTCTTTCTTTTTCTTCACAGATGGTCAAGATTCAAATCTTTTCTTGATCTTAACAAATCAACACAAATTTTTTCTGACATTAATCTATGGAAACGATGTCTAGTGGTGACACAAACATGATGCAAGATTCAGATTCAAATTCGCGTCAACAACCCCATATTTTGCCTGGAAACATAAGACAAATATTCCAACATGCCATCAATGATGTTTTTGCAGTAAGAGCAGCCATTCGAAGCACAAACCAAGATGGTAATAACAATACCACTGCGAGGCGGTTGCCAGCATCGAAGGACGCAATTGATGCCATGCCAAGAATAACAGTACAAGAAGGTGGGAATGATTGTGCAATTTGTTTAAATGAGATTGGAATCGGTTCTGAACTTAGAGAGATGCCTTGTAAACATGGGTTTCATTCGGGTTGTATTGAACAGTGGTTGAGGATTCATGGGTCTTGCCCTGTTTGTCGGTTTACGATGATGCCTGTGGAAGGAGCAGAGGTCGGGGCTAGTGGATCTGAATCTTAGTTTAGACTTTTTGATTATGGGTTTCGTTAAAGACTTGCCTGGAACATTGCAAGGCCATGCCTGCGTTTACTAAAAATTAATAGGAATTGATAAGGTTTTTTTTTTATGCTATCCTCAATTAATTAATGAAAAGTGTAAACATGATGTATGCTTCTTCTTTTTTAATGAATTTTTGTATAATGTTCTTGTTTCATTTTGATTAAGAATTTTTTTAGTTTGACCATGTTGAAGCCTAATCGAGGTTTTTTTATTATTATTTTATTTTTATCATTTATTTTTTATGTTTTTCAGGCTACTATATAAAGCTGTGCAACTTCATCTACTATTTAACTATAATTTCCATATTTTAGAGTGAGTTATAGATGACATGGGCAGGATAAGCTATACAATATAATAGCCATCTTACCATGTAAGTTGCTTAAGTTTTTTTTTTTTTTTTTATATATATATATATAAAATAAGTTATATATTCCTAAGTCTATGAGAGAGAAAAATGGTTTTTTCTCATCTCAACACAAAAAAAATTTGTCTATTTCTCTTTGTTCATTCCTCTTATATAAGCGTATTTAGAAATGTAATTGCGGTTATTTTTTAAAATATTTTTTATTTAAAAATATATTAATATAATATTTTTTTTATTTTTTCAAAATTATTTTTAACATCAACATATTAAAATGATATAAAAAACATCAAAAAATATTAATTTGAAGCAAAGAAAAAAATAAAATAAAATAATTTTTTTAAAAAATACTTTTAAAATACAAAAATAAAAAGGCTAAAAATCCACCTAAATGACCCTAAATTAACTTTAGTGTTGGAGGATTCTTCTACAAGCAACACTCACCATCTGGCCTATTGTTTTTTTTATAAGAAAACCCAGATCCAGTGAAGTTTTTTTTAAATCTTATTAGTGGTGCCATCTATAAAAAATTGAATATAAACCTCATATTTTTTTTTATCACTCATTTATGACCTACTCATAAAGCTTTCTTGATGGATAACGTTAAAACACTAGGAGGATGAGTTATTGCCCCCTCCCATCCTTATAAACTCTAATAGACCTTTAACAATTAGCCCAATAGATGAGAGAAGTCATTAAGGCTGTGCTAGTTACTCAACAACAACTCAGGGCTTTCCTTACTTATCCACAGTATACAAACTATTATACAACCACCTGCACCTCCTCTTATTGTACCAATTTCACCTCATATGCAATGACAACCCTAATTCCTATAAATGACTACTTAAATTAAGGTAAAAGATAATAGACAACATATTATTTATCCTATAATAAGTAGATCACGTTATGACAGAGAGTCTTTGACACGACTAAAAGATTGATATCTTCTCCCAAGTATAGGAGTGTCAAAGTAATAAATAATTCGGCAAGACCGGGATCGAATAACAGGGAGGTTAATTGTATAAATTATAGATGACAACAACAACAACAACAACAACAATAAGGAAAAAGAAGGAGAAGAAGAAGAAGGAGATGAGAACTTTGAGATGGAATATTAATGTAAGGATTAAATTATGATAATAACAAATGTTAAGGTTAGAGGTTCCACTAATGGTATGTCAAACAAGTATAGTATAAACTCTTATTATTCAATTGGAAACCACACACACAGGAGGTTCTAATCAAATTATAAATTGTTAACATAATCACATTAGTTATCTTATTCAATTAATGCTAATGCTTGTAAATCTTGTTAGACATTCTTGATTATAACTTATGTTAACAACAATAATAATAATAATAATAACAATAATAAAAAAAATACAAAGAGAGAAAGGAAGAGCATGATCTTGATCTGAACACCAAGATGCCTAAATGCATGGCAAATGCCTCCTTTTATAGGCTAAAATTGGGAACTATTGATTTGATGACTAATTGATAAGTGGGTGACCAACTTTTGACTTGGTGACAATCCTTATCTTCTTTTGTCTGCCCAAAACGTCATTGATAACGTCAAAATTGGAGCCAGTTGCAAACATGAAAGTTGTAGGCAATTGTCTCAGCTTTCTTGTGTAAAACATTCAGCTCATTTGGACTTCTAGAACTCCAGATATGGCCAAAATACCGAACAGTGCTCGGGCTGGAAGACAGATTCGGGCTTCTTTGTTGTTGCTACAATTTGGACTTGATAATGGCCTTTTTAGATCTTGGGCTCCATATGAAAGTTGTAGGCCTATGTCTTACCTTTCCATCCATATAAATTGGACCTAAATCTGAGATCTGTAGCTCCAGATATGACCCAATTACCAAATAGTGTTCCGGTATGGACTGCACCAGCATCTCTTTTCTAAGTTTTTTCAGTTCTTAAATTCATCAATCAATCCTTTTATTTATGTGATAGGCCTGCATTTAAAGTAAATATTTACCATAAATTAAAGGTATCTTATATTATTAGATATATTATTATAAAACATGCTTTAGTTAAGGAGTTATTGATACTTTAAGTGCAAAATGATGACATAAAACCTTAATAAAAATGCACTTTTAAATACTAATCACATTCTCATAAAAGATCCTTAAGATATGATCTCCATCAATCAAAAGGTAAAGGCCCAAAGCCATAGCCTTCACCATCAACCTCGTTCTCTTACAAAATATCATTTCAACACCTCACAACCTAAAAGGCTACATATTGAAAAAAAAGAACAGACTCAGGTCAGATAATAGATTCATCGTTGTGTGGCAGTGTTTGGAATACTCATCTTTTTAAAGACTTTATAGTTTTCCATGATGAACTTAAACTCGTATGATGACTTGTCTAACCCTATGAAACATCTCTAGAATGTGAGGAGAAGCTTTGAATTGGTGATTTAAGATGCCTATTCCATGTGTAAAATACTCCCTATCACTTTTTAAATATTTACATGAGCCTGGTATCAAATTTAAAACCTGGTTTCATATTTAGTTTTTAAAACTTGTGTAGTAAATTGATAACTTATTTCAGCAAGAGTATTCTTGTAAAAAAATGTTTAACCAAACTCTTTTCCATCACTTAGTTTGAGGGAGAAAGCACGAGAGCCTACTTGAAAAGATTGAATAAAGAGATGTGTAAAGGTGAAAAACTTGATAAAACCAATGGTTATAGAAGCCTTGATTAATGGCATACACAACTACTTCTTATGGAAATATCTCATGCATTACCTGATAAAAGTCATTTTAAGTCATTTTAATATGAAACAAGCTATGAAAAATCATACCTATATAGAAGAAGCAAATGTATCATAATAAAAGTTGCCAAGATGAACTTAGACCACCATGATGGCTTATTTGATCCTATGAAGCATGTCTAGAATACAAGATTTGTCCTTCCAATATGTCTCCATTACCAGTTTCCTCCTATTTGATACCTTTAGGGTTAAGGCCTTAGATGTTGTTGTGGCAATATCCTCTTCACATGTTTATTGATGAATGCAGGTTTAACATTTCTTCTACTATCATTCTTTATATTCAAGTTTATTCCAACTTGTTGCTTTTGGAAGTAAGGCATTTCTTGCCTTTGCCATTGGTTCCTTTTTTGTAAGTTGTCTTTCAATTTTAAATATTTGAATTGAGGCCTTGCTTGTCCATAACTTGTGTTCCTTATTTCTTGGAACACTTTCCTTGTTCCTTCATTTATGGAATTCCAATGAGAAGCCTTTTTAGGTACCTTTTTAACATTAAATCATTGTTGGTTTGGCATTATACCTTTTAGTACCCATAATACGTTTTAAGAATTCCATTTTTCTTTAATCTATATTTATGCAATAAATGGTCTTTCTTATCTCAAAAATCACATGTAGAAAAACAACTATACATAGTAGATTAATTAACATACTCATTTGATTTTTGTTTTTCTACACAATTAAAACCTCACCCACTTTTATTTCTGCTTTTTTTTTGTCCTCTTAACAAAATATCCAAGTTATCTCTACCTTGAGTAAACTTGGCTAAAGTTGAAGTTAAGTCTTCAACTTGTTTTATAAAAACATCATTTTCATTTTCCAAATCCTCTACCGATGATGAACAACTAGCAATGACCATTATCATGGTGGAATGGTTCAAGCATAACCATATGGAATAGTGGAATGGTGAATCAATATTCCTAACATAACTCTTGTTATCATGGTGGACCAAGATTCACCAACACAACCATATGAAAGTGGTGTACCAAGAATCTTGACATAACACAAACTTTTACTCCTATAACTATTGGGTCTTAGTGCCATAATATCAATCATTCCTTGTAATAAGCATGTCATCAGTATTCATGACACGATTGAAAGATTGATGTCTTTTTCTAAGTGCAGGAGTGTTAAAGTAATAAATAACTCGGCAATACCGAGGTTGAACCATAAGGAGGTTAGTTATATAAATTATAGATAACAATAATACAACAACAACAACAACAACAACAACAACAACAATAATAATAATAATAGTAGTAGTAGTAGTAGTAGTAGTAGTAGTAGTAGTAGTAATAAAGAAGAAGAAGAAGAAGAAGTTGATGAGAACTTTGAGATAGAAGATTAACTTAAGGATTAAACAATGATAACAACAAATGTCAAGGTTAGAGGATCCACTAATGATATTTCAAACAAGTATAGTATAAACTCTTATTATTCAATTGGTAACTACAAACAAAGAAAGTTCCAATCAGATTATAAATTATTAACATGATCACATTAGTTATCTTATTCGATTAATGCTAATACTTGTAAATCTTGTCAGACATTCATGATTATAACTTATGTTAACAACAAGTCAAGTTTCTTTCATAGCTTAGGTGTCAGTTATACCATACAGTATGGGCTATGAGAGTGTCAAGTATTTGTTGTACCAAGTGTTATACAACATAAATCTAGATTAGTCATTTAACAAGCAAAGTATTAAAGAGTGAACAAGATAACAATAACAAAACATGTTAGTATCAAACATTAAAGTCCATGTTAAGTTTACACTATACTTATTCTTACACCATTAGTCTAATATTTTCACC